GGCCAAGGCTGAGAAACGCTGATTAAGCTGCTGCAAGCAACAAGGGGCGAATATGGGGCCAGCCCCACAGGAAATCTACAAAGCTGCACATCAAAAGCAAGACAGCATCTCCGGCTGGGGTTTCCTCCCAGGAATGTGCATTATGCCTGCTGGGAAACACAAACTGCCAGAGATGTTGCAAAGCGATTTAATTTCTTGTTCCAGAAAGAGGATTAGAGGCAGCTGTTTGTGGAGTTGTATGTTAAGCTTTGCTGGTGTGTCATGACCTATGAGGTCCAAGTAAATATGCTGGCCAGTAAAAGAAGACCCCAGTATCTCCAGGGCATACTGGTGTGGGAAGAATCCAGAGGAAAAAATATTTTGGGAAATATTAAATAGGCAGAAACCAAGAGGGGTGGACTTCCATTCCCAGAATTCCCCAGCCAGCCTGCTTTAAGAGGGGTGGGCTTCCACTCCCAGAATTCCCTGTTCCAAATTACAACGGCACTGAAAAAAACTGAATTACAACCATTCCTTGCACTTTTGACCATCGTAGCATCCCTAAGGTCGCGTGATCAGAATTAGGGCGCCTGGCACCTAGCATGCATTTATGACAATCGCAGCCTCCCACAGGTCATGCCATCCCGATTTGTTACCTTCCCAGCTGACTTCCGACAAGCAAAGTCAACGGGGGAAGCAGGATTCACTTAGTGACTGTGTGATTCATTTAAGAACGGCAGTGATTTGCTTAACAATCCTCTCAAAAACGCTCGTAAAATTGGGCATGGCTCCATTAACCATCAGCTTGCTTCGCAATGAGGACTGTAAGCCGAGGGCTCCCTAGGCCAGGGGTAGGCAATTTTGGCTCTTTTATGACTGGTGGACTTCAACTCCCAGAATTCCTGAGCCAGCCATGCTGAGGGGAAGGGGAGAGTTTCCAAGCTGAGCCATGCTGGCTCAGGAATTCTGGGAGTTGAAGTCCACAAGTCATAAAAGAGCCAAGGCTGCCTACTCCTGGTCTAGGCCAGGGGTGGGGAACCTTGGCTCTTTTATGACTCGTGGACTTCAACTCCCAGAATTCCTGAGCCAGCCACGCTGACAGGAAAGGGAGAGATTTCCAAGCTGAGCTATTCTGGCTCAGGAATTCTGGGAGTTGAAGTCCACGAGTCATGAAGGGGCCATTGTTCCCTACCCCTGGTATAGGGCAGGGATAGGCAACCTTGGCTCTTTTATGACTCGTGGACTTCAACTCCCAGAATTCCTGAGCCAGCCATGCTGAGGAGAAATGGAGAGGTTTCCAAGCTGAACTATTCTGGCTCAGGAATTCTGGGAGTTGAAGTCCACCAGTCATAAAAGAGCCAAGGTTGCCTACCCCTGCCCTATGCTGTAGTTTGTGTGGCCTCCGACTCCCAGAATCCCCCAGCCAGCAGAACCCCATTTAAAAATGGCTGAGCTTGGTAAACATGGATCTGGATCCCAAGAAGAGCAACCAGGTTTAACGTTGTGCGATCATTGCTGAATAGAAGGTTCAGATGGTGTAGCTGGCTCCGCTTTCTTTGCTCTTGTGTTAGATGTGACTGTGTTCCTTTGAGTCTGTTTTTTCACACTTCTTTTGTGCTTCAAACACCCCCTTCTTTTTGACAGGAGACCTCGTCTTCTCCCAGCCCTGTGCGACTCTGCCCGCTCTCCTTTGGCGAAGGGGTGGCATTTGATCCGTTGCCACCCAAGGATGTAAGGTAGATTCTTTGTTTTTATACTGGGGGTTGTTAAATGTCCATGGAGGTTCTCCATCATCCAGGTCATGATTGTCCCAAAGCTGCTTTTTCAAGAGGCAAATGAACTTTCTTGTTTTTCCTTTGAAGACGTTTCACTTCTCATCCCAGAAGCTTCTTCAGTTCTGACCGGATGGTGGGGAATGGAAGGATTTATACTCCTTGCAGACCGCCGGTCATTTGCATCCTTTTAGCGAGTCGTTGAGGCCACTTGGAGGTTTACCTGTGTCCTCGGGGTCACCTGAGTAGTGCAAATGGGGGTGGAGCCATCTTGGCTGCAGGTGGTTTTCTGCCCTGCGTCCCTTCCCTGTTGGAGACAGGCACACAGGCTGTTGGGGATGGGTCCGTGTTGTCTGCATCTCCAACTGAAGCGCAAATGGGTCCTGCCATGTTTTCTGGGAATCCATTCATACTTCTGCACCTGTGCCTGTACATTGGGACTCTCACCATTACAATGCCTTGGCCACTTTGCAGATACTGGTTTAGATGATTCAAAGGGCAGATGGTCTAAACTCAACAACTTTTCAGATGGGTGGACTCTCATTCCCAGAATCCCCCAGCCAGCATGTTTTAAGATGGGTGGACTCTCATTCCCAGAATTCCCCGGCCAGCATACTTTAAAACAGTGGTTCTCAACCTTTTTAATGCCGCGACCCCAACCGGTCGTAAGTCGAGGACTAAACCTGTCGTAAGTTGAGGACTACCCAGCCGGTCGTAAGTCGAGGACTTTCCCTACCCGGGAGTGCCGCGCATGCGTGGTTCCGCCCCCTGTGCCGGCTGAGGCGTAGCTGGCAAGCGGCAGAGACGGAGCAGGCCGACCACCAGCTGGCCCAGCCCAAGGGAGGTAAGGCACCCGCCGGAAAAGGGGGAAAAAATGGCGGACAGTCTTGCTTGGCGACCCCCGTGAAATGGTCGATCGACCCCAAATGGGGTCCCGACCCACAGGTTGAGAACCACTGCTTTAAAACATGGGACTTCAATTCCCATTGAGTCAACTCAACATCCTTTCTGAGGAATGCTGGGAATTGAAGTCCACCATACTTAAAGTTGCCAAGTTTGAAAAAACACAAAACAGTGCAGGGTGGAATGACTCTCCTTCCGATGAAATGGGCCTGGGTCTCAAGTTACAACTGCAAATGGATAATAAAAACAGATTTCTTGGCTAGAAGAACAGACAGCTGTGCGAGTAAACTTCTGCCTTGAAATCGTAAGCCTTTGGGTTGGTTTTAAAGTCTGTCTGCAGGGCATCCCGGATAAAAATTCTCCCATAACAGTCAGCTAAAACAGCACAAGATTTGATAAAAAGACACAACTAAAATCTTCAAGCACAGGCAGTCCTCTACTTACAACCGCCATGGAGCCCAAAATTTCCGTTGCTAAGCCAGACAGCGGTTAAGTGAGTTTTGCCCCATTTTACGACCTTTCTTGCCACCATTCTTAAGTGAATCACTGCAGTTAGTCACACGGTTGTTAAGTGAATCTGGCTTCCCCACTGACTTTGCTTGTCAGAAGGCCGCAAAAAGAGATCACATGACCCCTGGGACACTACAACCGTCATAAATATGAGTCAGTTGTTAAGCGTCTGAATTTTGATCACGTGACCGCGGGGAGGCTGCAACGGTTGAAAGTGCGAAAAAAGATCATAAGTCGCATTTTTCAGTGCTGTTGTAACTTTGAACGGTCATTAAATGAACTGTAGTAAGTCAAGGAATACTTACCTCTAACTACAGATAGTACTTGACTTACAACAACAACAACAATAATAATAATAATGTTGGAAGGGACCTTGGAGGTCATCTAGTCCAACCCCCTACTCAGGCAGGAAACCCTATACCATTTCAGACAAATGGCTATCCAGTCTCTTCTTAAAAACTTCCAGTGTTGGAGCATTCACAGCTTCTGGAGGCAAGGAGTTCCACTGGTTGATTGTTCTAACTGTCAGGAAATTTCTCCTTAGTTCTAGGTTGCTTCTCTCCTTGATTAGTTTCCACCCGTTGCTTCTTGTCCTGCCTTCCGGTTCTTTGGAGAATAGCTTGACTCCTTCTTCTTTGGGGCAGCCCCTGAGATACTGGAACACTGCTCTCATGTCCCCCCTTGTCCTTTTCTTCATTAAACTGGACATACCCAATTCCAGCAGCCGTTCCTTGTATGTTTTAGCCTCCAGTCCCCTGATCATCTTTGTTGCTCTTCTCTGCACCCTTTCTAGAGTCTCAACATCTTTTTTACATCGTGGTGACCAAAACTGGATGCCGTATTCCAAGTTCATTTAGTGACCATTCAAAATTACAACGGCACTGAAAAAAGTGATTTATGACCAGTTTTTCACACTTACGACCACTGCAGCATCCCTGGGATCATCTGATCCAAATTCAGATGCTTGGCAACTGACTCATATTTATGACAGTTGCAGCATCCCGGGGTCACATGATCCCCTTTGGCGACTTTCTGACAAGCAAAGTCAATGGAGAAGCCAGATTCGCTTAACTACCGTGTGACTAACTTAGCAACTGCCATGATTCACTTAACCACCGTGGGAAGAAAGGTTGTAAAATGAGGCAAAACTCACTTAACAAGTGTCTCATTCAGCAACAGAAATTTTGGGCTCAATTGTGGCTGTGGTGGAGAACTACCTGTAATTTTTCCAATGAAGGAGAATATTCATAGGTCAGGGTTAAAATGACGGGTCTCTAAGCCAGAAGTCTCCAACCTTTTTGGTTTGGCGGCCCAGAAAGTGAGGCAGGCACTGCTACGTGTGTGTGTGCAAAAATGAACCCCACAGGCACGCGCCCAAATGGCTTGCGTACGAGTGCATGAACACATGCAAATGGCCGCATGCGCACATGCAAACGGGCCTGCGCGGGCGTGAGTGCTGCAAATGGGACGGTGCTAGCGCTGGCAGGACACTTGGACCGGCACTAATGCTGATGGGATGCTCGGGGTGGCGCTTAATGCTGGCAGGACACTCGGGGGCGGGGCGGTGCTAGCACCAGCGGGATGCTCAGGGCAGCGCTAGCGCGAGTGTGGGTAGGCGAGTCCACGCGCATGTGTATGCGTGCACTGGCCATCCCTTCATACGCTCCAGTGGCCAAGTTGCCGCGGCCCGGTAGCGTGCTGCAGCCCACAGGTTGGGGACTGCTCTAAAGTTCACTTGTTTTCCTCCCAAGAAATTTTGGAAATTTCTAATTTTTCCTTCCAAGAAAAGGATGTTCATCTGTATTATTTTTTCCTTGCCCAGGTACACCTCTTCAGTTAAGTATGACTCCGAAAAACACTTCATCAATGATATTTACATGCCGGTCCGGCTAGGCGTGTCGTCTTGCAGCCAAACCATCATTTGTGTTCCCGACAGCACGTGGCGCAGTTACAAAGCCGAGGTGCAATTCCACCTTTGCAACCGGCCCGGGAATTTCAGAAGCACCACCATTGTGTACCCCAAGCACACCAAGACTGTGTACACCACCACCCTGGATTACAACTGCAAAAAATTCAACCGGAAATTCTTGTCTAGCGTCGAGTTGGAATCGTCTGGAAATGAGAACCTCCCAGAAAGCTGTTGACTTTCCATTCTCTCTGGCTGCAACTCAAGTCGCTTTTTCTGTACCGCCCTCTTTTTTATGCTCAGGAGTGACCTGTTGGACATCCGCACCATGAGGGGTTCAACAGGCCGCAGGAACGAGGGAGGGACAGCATCAATCCATGGTTGCTTTGCTACCTGCTATAGCCAGTCCTCAACTTACAAGTGTTCATTTAGTGACCATTGAAAGATGCAAAAAGTGACTTATGACCGTTTTTGACACTTACGACCATTGCAGCCTCCCCTTGGTCACGTGATCAACATTCGGACGCTTGGCAATTGGTTCATATTTATGACGGTGGCGGCGTCCCAGGGGACATGCGATCTCCGTTTGCGACCTCCAAGTTGATGGGGGAAACCAGATTCATTTAACAACCGTGTCACTAATTTAACAACTAGAGTGATTCGCTTAACAAAAGTCATAAAATGGGGCAAAACTCACTGGGCAAATGTTTCATTTAGCAACCTAAATGTTGGACTCTGTGGTTGTAAGTTGAGGACTACCTGTATTCGTTGCAGGCTGTGGAGTTTAAAAAATAATAATAATTAAAACTCTAATCTCTGATTGCTCCAAAAATGAATTTTTTTAAAAAAAAATTGAATTTCCCTCTGTCCATGTTCTTCCTTCTCATCTTTGTTGAGATCAATGGGGAAAAAAAATCCGAATGATTGATTGATTGATTGATTGATTGAGAGAGAGAGAGAGAGCAGATGAGAGAGGAGAGAGAGAGCAGATGAAAGAGAGAGAGAGGAGAGAGAGAGAGGAGAGAGAGCAGATGAGAGAGAGAGCAGATGAGAGAGAGAGGAGAGAGAGCAGATGAGAGAGGAGAGAGAGCAGATGAGAGAGGAGAGAGAGAGGAGAGAGAAAGCAGATGAGAGAGAGGAGAGAGAGAGCAGATGAGAGAGAGAGAGGAGAGATGAGAGAGCAGATGAGAGAGGAGAGAGCAGAGGAGAGAGAGGAGAGATGAGAGAGAGCAGATGAGAGAGGAGAGAGCAGAGGAGAGAGAGAGAGGAGAGAGAGCAGATGAGAGAGGAGAGAGAGAGGAGAGAGAGCAGATGAGAGAGAGGAGAGAGAGAGAGCAGATGAGAGAGAGGAGATGAGAGAGAGAGAGGAGAGATGAGAGAGAGCAGATGAGAAAGAGGAGAGAGCAGAGGAGAGAGAGAGGAGAGAGGGAGAGAGAGAGAGAGAGAGAGAGATGGCATTCCAGAGTTTTTGGAAAAGAAAACACTTTATATAGATTTTCAAATACAACTCAAATAAAGCCAGAAATAAACCAGCTTTCCACCACCACTGATGTAGTGGAATAAAAAAAAAGAAGAATTAGAACTACTTTTAAACCAGCATGAAATCCTTGTGTAAAGAATCTCATATTTCATCCACGGTCACATTAAAAATTGGTTCCCTTCTAATGTCCCTTTCTGCTTCTCCCGTACTTTTTCCTTTTATGTATAAAAATAACATTTTTCCTCTCTTCTTTTCTTTCTTTCTTTCTTTTTTTGCTTTCCCTTTCGGTGCTTCTGATGTTTTCTTATATGGGGTGAAAATCAGGATCTCTTTTCTAAGAGGAAACTTAACCTTAAGTAAGTGACTTACTTTTCTTCTTACTTTAAGTAAGGGGAAAAGAATTTGAAGGGATTGTGGAAACGATATGGTTGTCCTGATTCAGAGTGTGTAAAAAAAATAAATAAAACTTTTTTTCATCTCCTCTTTTAAAGCCGTTGTTATTTTTAGGCTAAATTTAGCACTTCCTTTCTTAAGTTATAGCCGTATTTTTCAAAGTTGGGAACATGAAGATGGGCGGACTTCAACTCCCAGAATTCCCCAGCCAGCCATGCTGGCTGGGGAATTCTGGGAGTTGAAGTCCACGCATCTTCATGTTCCCAACTTTGAAAAACCTTGAGGTAAAGTATAATATATAGATTTCGCTGGAGCAGTTCTTAATTTTAGATTGATGTAGAATTTTAAAAAATAATCTGTTATTCTATTCAGGATGTTTGAAGAATTCAGAATGCCTCCAGGCGGTTGTTTGAAAGGGTTTTACATTTTTAAAAAAAAAGACCAATGAGATATTATAGATGTATTTTAACCAATATATTGTATCTTATTTGCTATAAAATTATCTCTCTGTTCTTTCCCGTGACTTTTTTGCTAATTTCCTTTGCATTTTGTTTCAGACAGGCCTTTTCATCATTAATTCCAAGCAATGAGACAGGATAGGAAAATGTATTTATGATGGGATAATTTATATAGAGAAGACAGAAGAGAGGAAAAGTAGATAATTGCATGGACTTGTGGGAATTGGCTGTTAATTTTGAGAAAGGGACAGGCAGCTGCAAGCTTTTTCCCAGGATAAAGTTTTTACATCTGAAGCCACTTTTTACATTCTTGAGTGCGGATTAAATGTAATGTGTGTTTTATTGTCTTCCAGCTGTTTTCCTGTGTGAAATGAGTTGTGGTTTTAGGATCAATAATCCCTAATCACAAAATATGAGAGAGGAAAAAAATCAGCAAAAAACCAGATATTTACATTTGTGTTTCAGGATCAATATAGCCCCACAAAATTGAAGAAACATTTAGCCAAGGTTAAAAAAATCAATATTTGTTTTTGTGTGTTCTGGATCAATAATCCCTAATCACAAAATGAGAGAAAAATTAAGCAAAGGTTGAGAAACAAATATTTGCTTTTGTGTATTCAGGATCAATCATCCCTAATCACAAAATGAGAGTAAAATTCAGCAAAGGTTAAAAAACAAATATTTGCTTTTGTGTATTCAGGATCAATAATGCTTGAATAAAAACATGGAGAAAAAAATCAGAATTTTTTTTTAAAAAAACAAATATTTACTCTTGTGTTTCAGGAACAATAATCCCTAATCAGAAAATGGGAGAAAAATTCAGCAAAGGTTAAAAAACAAATATTTGCTTTTGTGTATTCAGGATCAATAATGCTGAATAAAAACATGGAGAAAAAATCAGAATTTTTTTTTAAAAAAATATTTACTCTTGTGTTTCAGGAACAATAATCCCTAATCACAAAATGGGAGAAAAATTCAGACAAGGTTAAGAAACAAATATTTCCTTTCAAACAGGCAGTCATATAACTCAGTTAAGGTTGGGTTAATCATGGTTTGTAAGAAAAACCACATTCTCATAGCATGCTGGACTGTAAACCATGCTTTTGGCACCTTTGATGAATCCAGAAAATAGTCCATAAAAGTGGTAGTCATATATCCAAAGACAATAGTTTTTTTAAAAAAAACAACAGTCTAGCTCAAACAGATTTAATTGATAGAATATGAATACGGTAATCAAAAATGTTGAGCAGGACCCAATGCTTAGCTTTAACTGAGAAAGTTCTTTGAAAGTGATAATAAGAATGGAGAAGTATTTTGTGATATTTGTGTTAGGTCTGATTCGTGGGGAGGATTTTGTTGGCGCACAGCAGTGTTAATTTATGACAAGATTTTTCAATTTTGGCAACCTTAGAATAGGTGGACTTCAACTCCCAGAATTCCCCAGCCAATCTTGCTAGCTAGGGGGATTCGGGGAGTTGAAGTCCGCCCTTGTTAAAATTGCCAAGTTTGAAAAATGTTGATCTATAGTGGATAAAAATCAGGAGTTTGTAGAACTTCTCCCCCCCCAAAAAAAATTAATAAAATCTTTAGGAGCCTTTTAACCAAATCACACTATTTAACAACATCTGGAATAATAATAATAATAATAATAATAATAATAATAATAATAATAATAATAATAATAACAATAATAATTAATAATAAATAATAATAATAAATAATTAATAATAATAATAAATAATTAATAATAATAATAAATAATTAATAATAATAATAAATAATTAATAATAATAATAAATAATTAATAATAATAATGATGATGATGATGATGATGATGATGATGATGATGATGATGATGATGATGATGATGATGATGATGATGATGGAAGGGACCTTGGAGGTCATCTAGTCCAACCCCCTGCTCAGGCAGGAAACCCTATACCATTTCGGACAAATGGCTGTCCAGTCTCTTCTTAAAAACTTCCAGTGTTGGAGCATTCACAGCTTCTGGAGGCAGGTTGTTCCACTGGTTAATTGTTCTAACTGTCAGGAAGTTTCTCCTTAATTCCAGGTTGCTTCTCTCCTTGATTAGTTTCCACCTGTTGCTTCTTGTCCTGCCTTCAGGTGCTTTGGAGAATAGCTTGACTCCCTCTTCTTTGGGGCAGCCCCTGAGATATTGGAACACTGCTATCATGTCCCCCCTCGTCCTTCTCTTCATTAAACTAGACATACCCAATTTCTGCCTTTTAAGTCAAATTTGTTAGGGAGAAAAGATGCTGCTATTGGACTTTCAATTTTCACAGGGAGGATTTAGAGAGACTAGCTCCCTAGAACTGATTTATTTTATTATTATTATTATTATTGCTGGAGAGGAAACTTGAGAAGTAAAGGAACAAGAAGAAAAAAAGCACATTATAGGGAGACCACATTCCTTTATGCAAACACTGCCATTTCTCCAGGCAGCTCCCCTAAAATAGCCCCTGGCTGAAAGAAAACTCCAGTTTTGGAAGTCCCGAACCCAGGGCAGGGTGCAAATAAATTATGAGAACAGACCTCAGCCATCACGTGCGGTTTCAACCTTGCCAAAGGGGGGAATAATAGAGTTATTCTTTGAAAAGCAAATGTTCCTGAAAGAAGCATGTTAGGGAAACCGCCGTGGGCCGTTGTAACCCAGCCAAAACTTAAAAAGTTGCTCCAAATTGCTGACACGAGCGATATTTTAAGCCAACTGCCTTGATTTTTAATCTGGCAGCAGAAAAGGAATTCCTTAAATTTGTGAAAGGACCTGTTTGAGACCCGCCAGCTATTGTTTTGTGGGCTGGTGTTTAAATGGGAAATATTTTAGCAGGGCACGGTGTTCCTCGTCAGGAACATAACTCAGTCATCTGCGCTGCATACCAAGCAGCC